ACACACACACACACACACACACACACACACACACACACACACACACACACACACACACACACACACACACACACACACACACAGGTAATCTCCCTGTGCACACTCAGCAATACACATTCTGTTTGTTTGTCTGTCTGTCCCTCTGTGAACCTGCCAGACTGCTTGTCCACTGGCCCATCCATCCACCGGTTATTGTAACTACTGTGTCCTTACATCGCCTCTTGCGTCCCCCCCGCATCCCCACCGCCCTTCTTTCTCTTCTCTATCCTTCCCGCCCTGCATACCACGTACCCACTGTCTCTCTGCCAATTAATGCACACAGGGCTGCATTGCAGTGAGGTTGGCGCGTGCCACGGCAGCAAGCACAGTACAGAGTCTACAGACATGCATGTACGTGCCAGCCAGGCAGAGCGGGATGGAGAGGAGGGGGTGAGAGTGAGGGAAAAGAGGAAGAGGGAGGGCGGGTAAGTGGGTGGGTGAGTATGGGGAGGGGGGCGAGAGAGTGAGCGGAGAATATGTTGAGTCAGGCAGACAGGACGGTGGAGTGCCACACTGCACATATACACAGCCGCATGTCTGTGAAAATGTATGCACGAATGAATATGAAACAAAAGGCACGGCACACATACATGTGCATCATGACAGCCCAAAAGTATGCAGAAATGCAAATGCGAACACGCACACACACACACATGCACTCGCACACAAACATGCATGCAAATTCCAACCTCCTTATGGCTGCTTTATATATAGACTTTGCACATCACTGATGAAAAAAATATAAGGCACCGACTCCCTCAACTTGTTTGCCAAACGAGTCACTATGTGTGTGTGTGTGTTTCTCCGTACATTGTGTCCTCATTTGCTACCGTATGTTTGCATTTCCATGTCAAAGTTACCTGCATACCAAGGCGTGTTTTTATAGTCATCATAATATATCCGACTGTGACTTTTGGCACTTCATATCAGGCGCATGTGTGTGTCTGTGTGTGTGCGTGTGAGGCACAGTTTGTGAGTTTAGATATGAGATTCGAATGCTGTTCTGATGGCGCTTGTCTGTTTTTTGTTGGAATGTGTTACATCCATTTTAATCAAGAATTCATACCTACGCACAGTGTTATTAACTGTAGCAGCAGGTCCAGGCATATTTGAATAATATGAAGAAATGAGACGATTCGCCAGATGGCAAACAAACACACACACACACGCCGATTTTAACTACTACTTATACTAGAGTTCTCTACCAAATGACAATGCTGTAAGATTCAAACCTTAAACCATCAAAGTCACAAACAACCCTGAATGCACTAACCCTTTATTACTTTGTGGAACAGTTTAAGCTTAAAGTGAAGTTGGTTCACATGATGCAAGTCACGAAAATCCTCACTTAAATACGTTAGCCAGCATCATCGTCAAGGCACAGAAAAGTAATACCATTGCTAAACATGTTTTTGGAAGTAAAGAAATTCATTAAAAAAAAAAAATTTAAAAAAAAAGGAACCTCAAGTCAAAAATTTGAAACGAGCCGAGGAGGAGCACATCCGTACTCCATTGCTTATGTTGCCACTATACAATCTCAATATGAACAGTCCCCTCGTTATAAATATTCAGATCCTGCAGTTGTTCTCATGTTTAAAGTGTACCAGACAACAGATTCTATCCACGTTGAGACAGCAACGCTCCCTGGCAACAGTTCTACCAATCGGGAATGAGCGGGTGTCTGCCTGAGTCTGTCTGAGTATCATTATGGGATGTCGAGAGAAATAGAGAGAGGAAGAGAGAGGCTGCTTATCACTGCTTATAATGCAACATCATTCTCTGTGTACAGACCCCGCTGGGTGAAGTTGTCTGCACATAGTCAGGATCAAAATCATCTTTTCTTAAAAAGAAGAAGAAAAAAATCTCCCCATGATTCATGTAGTTACGTAACAAAGAGACAAATATGAAATGATTTGTTGTGGGCTGAATATTGTCTGGTATCTTTCCACTTGTACTCACTCAATATGCACTAATAACGTAACTTGTGGTCTGACGAAGGAGAAAATAGCAGTGAATTCCAGTTTTTAACTGCAATGTTGTACAGAAATGATAGTGTGAAGCAAAAAGTCCCACAGAACAAGCCAATATGAGGGTGGGATGATGTAACCAAATATAACATATCACAATTGTTTGGTCAAATTAAATATTAAAAAGTACTTTTTCGCACTTTGCTTTTTAATAATCATTGTTTTGTTTTTTGGTTGGATGATTTTGTATTCAAAGTAAAGTCCCTTTTACACTGGATTTGCTGAACACTACCATGACGGGAAGAATTTGAAGTATACACACATTTTGTCACTTACAGTAAAGATGCACTAATGTGTCTAAAAAGAGAAAAATAAATCTAATAACTGTTATCATTACTAGATTTAGTGACAGACAGACTATTCATTTGGTCCCCTATCCCTACTCACAGCATTGCTTTGACAAAAGCAGTCATTTATTTTGGTCTGCTAAAGGCCTAGAGACCAGTTGGCAACCATCTGCCAACTGGTCATGAGGGAGATATGTGTACTCTCCAACCAGTTGGTGGGTGGTTGCTGGAATTTGATGGTAGTTGCTCTGAAACTTATTGCTAAAGCCCCAGTGATGCCAAGAGATATGTCACTGGGAACAATGTGTATTTCTTGACCAGTTGCTGGTTGTTGTGGTACATGGTGCTGCTTATAATTATTTTATTTGCTAGCACACTGCTGCGGTTGCCAGTGAAAGATGCCGACATGTCAGTAAACACTCTGCAACTACTCTCCAAGTGGCAAAGAAACATTTTCCTTCAAATTAAAAGTTGTGCCTTTCGAAAAGCCACATCGCACTTTAAAGTTGCACTGCTGCTCATCTAGCAAGTGTCTGCAGACAAATCGATGTCTTCCATGCAAACGGCAATCTGCTAATGATCTTAGCAGTCAAAACCAGGTCTTTGGTCCAGCACCCAGTTTTCGATTTCATCTAGCAACAGCCAGCAACTTTCAGCAACTGGTTGGTACATTTTACACATTTTTCCCCAGCACCTGGAGGCTGCCAGAGAGTTGCCAACCAGTTTCTAAGCCTGTGTAAGTGAGGCCTTAATTAGCTAAAATCTTTCCGCCATCTTTCCACCACAATGCAGACATTTAATGGGATGGTAGAGACCAAATTCAAAGCAAAAAGGTGAGACTATTCTGAATCTTCTGGGGTTTTGGAAACACAAATATATGCTGACAACTGCTGTCAAAAAGATCAGAGCCAATGCAAAGCAGCTGGAGCTGGACTGAACAACAGGAGTTCTAGGTAATGAGGTGTGTTAAAAAATTTTCACATATGGCTCTAACTGTCAGTTGTTTAGACTAGAGGTTTTAGAAAAAAAACATACTGCCCAAAGGGTTGTTGTGGCTAGCATTTGTTGAAAAATTAAGTATGGGTAAAATCGGTAAGAGAGACAAAATGAAAGCATCTACGGATCAAGCCTGCCAACTGCATTCCCGGCTGCTACTGTATTTAGTAGATACTGTTTACTCTCTTCCAGAGTCTAACAGCTAAAGGGTCAATTATGATAAGTACAACTCCATCCATTATAATCGACTCTCATCAAGGGAGGTAAACACGAACACGGACACACCTTCGCAGAAATGTACATATCTTAATCATGTGCACCGCTTCAGGGGAAGATGCCAGCGATGAATGAAGTTAATGCTTACATTTCCCAGTGGTTGAGCACAGTATTAAGGAAAAAGCTTTGACAAATAACTCCTGTAACAGGGGGGGGGGATACCTGTAAGTTTAGCCTGTAGTCGCTGTGATAACCAGACAGACTGAGGGAAAGAAAGACAGAGAGAGCATATACAGTATCTGTGTGTGTGTGTGTAATCCTCCTGAGGCAAAGGCATTGCTAATGGACTCCAAGTGGCTGTGGGAGGTAAACAAACAGTAGCAGTGGCTACTACATCACACCAAACTCTGGTGACTAGCACACTAGACCGGCTGTGTATACCAAACATCAACCCACATACCCTTGAATATACATGACTGCATGGACTGCTTATAGATATATAAAGGAGTGCTCGAAAGATAAATATGGCAGACTGACGGGTACGCAACGGCGTTTTAGGTTAAGAGATGATAAAAGGCCGGGGGGTGAGGGGATAAATGAATAAAAGGGGAGAGGAAAGAGAGAGAGAGGGAGAGATAGAGCGAGTGTGTGAAAGATGCAAATAGAAAAGAACAAGAGAGAAGTTGACAAAGCACAGTCACAGGGAAAGAGAGGAATAGGGAAATGAGCTAAACTGACAGAAATGTAAAGCTCGAAAAGAGAATGTGTTCGAGTTGACAAGAAAACTGCAGAATACTTGAAAAGGCATACGAAAAGTTAAAAGTTGGAAAAAAAGCAGCAGACTTGATCATCTGTAATATTAATATTCCCATTTAAACTGTGACAGCCATAAAGCAGACTTAGCATATTGTGTAATCTCATTTCATGCGCCTTGGTCCCCGATTTTTCCAAGCAGGGCAACAGACAAAGCCAGGCCATATGGATAAACTGTCACTTTGTTCCAATCCAAAGAGATCCAACCTTCGCTCAACATTACTCACTCTAAAATGTCAGCTTCACGGTATAAGCTTCCCAGACTGTCATTTTCTAGCAAGGTAAATCCTTAAATGACAAAGAAAGGGAAGAAAAAGAGGCAGGTTGGATTTTTTTCCAGTTAGAATAAACTCATATTAGACAACCACAGGAGCCCGCGGGCCGTTCCAGTTTAGAGCAACATATAAGTGTGACGTTAGTGTGCTAAGGAAACTATATTCACGCAAGACGGAGATATTTTGACCAAATACTGACACAAGACCAAAAATTCCCCCAATTTCCAACTTAAAAGGAAGCTACGTAAGCAGCACAAGAAGAAAGTAGGGAAGAGAGAGAGACAGTGAGGGCGCGACAAAGCAAGAAATGATTCAGTGTGAGATTGTTAAGTCACAACACTTGAATGTGTAAACGCTAGGATAGAGTATACTGCGCTTATGACTGTCATGTGATATCTCTGTCTTTGGGATAGAAACCCTTTACATTGGGAGTGGTTTGCAGCTGCAGTGTGTGACTATTGGGACTGTTTTCTATGAGCCCGAGGGACGTCATGTCACACTGGCACAGACTGATCTCCTGCCAACAAAGTGTCTGTTTTGATGGGCTCAGGCAGATTTTTTTTTTCCTTCTCCTGTCTTGTTTGGTGATTTCATCGATTGCCAAGACGTTGCAGGAAAAATGTCAATGGACAGAGAACAAAGTGACTTTGGTGTCAACCGTGGAATGCAAATCATCTCCAATTACAGCTTAAAAACGCCATTAGAGACAATCGGACAATTACTGCTCAGAAAAACAGTTTTTTTCTTTGATTGAAGGAAGGGTAATCTGACTTTTTGGGGAAGCAATAAGTCTAAGTTTATAAAGTTATAACTCTAAAGTTAGTTTTCACATGAAGGGAGGACCTGTTGCTGGGCAGCTACCACACCGAGGTCCACAAAGGTCTACGAGTGAGTAAAAACACAATTACTTTTAGCTAAGTATTCCTAAAACTTGCAATATCTGTGGATGGCTTAGTCTGGCTTTATCAGTGAAGCAGCAGATTGAAAAATACATTTTTCTTCAGCGTATCAAGGTAGATGCGCGTGTTGCTGCTCAAGCTCACAGAAGTGAATACCAAATAAAAGAAACACAATTTGTCCTTGGCCTCGCAATAGGGATGCTGTAGCCCTGCCATGTGACTCTGCTTTGACAAGGACATCAGTTCACTCTCGGGACAAGCGTTTGTGGCATCTCTAATGTGCTCATTTACAAACTATAACTGTGCCATGGCAGGGAGTGTACTGGCTGAAGGAGCTAATTGGTTTTATAGCTGATCCCTGCATCGAGAGCGCTTTGATACCGTAATTTATTCTTACAAGTGCAATTACAAATCAGGTTTGCCACCGTTGCTGTGCTAGCACTTCTGGCTACAAGGCACCAGATAATTCAGTACACTGGATTTATGCAATTGCCCTTAAGTTAGTTAAAAACGGCAGCACCATCCCCCTCTGGAGCATGTGAGGTTATTGAGTTTTTTCTTTTGTTGCCAAGCTGACCAAAAGTCTTGTGGTTATTGACATACTGCCTGAGGATAGCTTCGGTATTTCCTCATATATCCCGAAATCCCGAAAGTTCTACTTTAGAGGTGGCATGGGAACAATTTTTATAGGCCAATACACATTTAGTATTCAATCATCAATATCAAACATATCTCATTTCAAAATCAAATGTTAACATATTTGTTTTCTCCTGTCAGTTCTTAATATTAAGGACATTTTCAGGACCTTTTAGAGGGAATCTATTATGCCAGCTTGTATATAAGAAGCAGCATAATTCACTTTTGCCCACCTGGCCAGCTGTCTTGCCTTAGATACTCTTTGGATATTCTCTTTAGCTTGACCATTGTCTGGGGATACACTCGCCATAAGATGTCCTGCTGAGTGTCACCATCTGTCACACAAGCTCTATTATTAGGTTAGATTTCACAGGAAGTCTGTATGGTTGTGAGTCTATGCGTATCTTGCCTATGCATTTGTTCCAGGGCATGATTTGATTTCCATACTGAAATGAAAACAGCAGGACATGAAAGATCATGACTGGCGATCCTGAACATTTTGAAAAAGATCCTGAATGAAGGGATGAGAGATATTATTTTTATTTCCGGTTTGTTTCCACATTTTGTAATAAAGGTAATGATGCTAATTTTTTTTCTTTTTTCTTTGCTCAATAATGCTTTTTAAAAAAAAAGTATCTGTAGCTAAAAAAGTATCTCTTAGATGACTGATTGGTACTCCTTTACTCACTGCATATACTGCAAACAAAATTAGCATACATGTGCAACTCTGATGTACACACACTGGCCACTTTATTAGGTACGCTTTTTTAACTGCTCATTAACACAAATATTTATTCGGCTAGTCACGTGGCAGCAACTCAGTGCATTAGACATGGTTAAGACAACCTGCTGAAGATCAGACTGAGCATCAGAGTGGGAAAGAAAATGTCATTTATGTGACACGGTTGTTCTTACAATTCATTTCAGAGAGAAATTTTGACAAAAAAGTCACAACAAAAGTCACCTCAGAAATTTCCAGCGGAACAAGGCTGAGGGAGCGGCAGCTATCTGCCGCAACCGGTTGCAGGTGAGGGTAAACAAGAAACAAAAAGCAAAACAATAGGGAGACGGGACAGAAGACACAACAGTTTATAAGGTTTAAACAGAATTACCCCAAAAAGAGAAAATATCCCGTGAATATCTTTTAGTGAAAAGGCCTTGTTGGGGCCACAGGTCAGAGGAGAATGTTCAGACTGCTTTGATCAGATACGAAAGCAACAATAACTAAAATAACTACTCATTACAACTAATGTATACAGAAGGGTATACCTTAAAGCAGATAGCCTAGAGCAGCAGAAGACCACCCCAGGTGGCTCTCCCATCAGCTAAGATGTTGAAGCCAGAATTTGGTGTCAACAACATGAAAGCATGGCTCCATCCTGCTTTATATCAACAGTAGAGACAGATGGCGGTGCCATAATGGTGTGGGGGATATTTTCTTGGAAAACTTTGGCACACATTAACTTTAACGCAACCCAAGCCTACCCAAATATTGTTGGTGACAATGCCTATCCTTTTATGACCACACTTACCAATCTTCTGATAACAGTAAGATAACGCACCATGTCTCAAAGCTCAAATCATCTCAAACTATTTCCTTGAAAATCATAATGCGTTCACTGTACTCAAATGACCTCCACAGTCACCAGATCTCAATCCAATAGAGCACTTTTGGGATGTGACATAAAAAAGACACAAACAAAAAAACAACGATTCACAGTAGGGGTGGGGTTTCTATCGTATATAAACGATATACGATAGAAACGATATAAATTTGGCCAACGATAGAGATTTTGCTATCGCGATAGCGCGTGTTGATGATGTCATCAAGCGGCGCCTGTTTTGGTCGAAAGCATCGCAGCAGCTACAACCATTATCAACTGCAAATTATGCCGACAGTCATAGCAAAGAGATGAAGCACTTTTGAAATATGGGGAAAGCCAAAAACTGCGCTTCCTCCACTTCCGTAACATTGATTCATTAATGGTGAATTCTCTCGCAGCTGCTCTATTCCCATGTTGTTGCAGTATATTAATAACTAACCTCGTATTGTGGATGAATAATCTCAGTTGTTCTCCTGACTGAAGTTTGGCCCGTGTATAGCACCCTGCTATGCGATTGCATTTGTCCCTAACCACCAGAATCCCTCACGTTAACTTTTATCGAGTGGGAAAAAAAAGTTGGCGTTCATCCTCCAGCTTCACTGTGCTAATGTTATGCTAACATAGCTGTGTCGCTAGCAATCACGTAGCACAACATTATATACCAGGTAGTCCAACTTCAGTAACCCTGCAAATGCCACTGCTGTTTAGTTTTCTGTCTTCATTTATCTGAAGTGGTAGCAGAGATTTCTGCACGCCAAAATTGGTTCAAGGTCAGTAAGCACAACCAGAATTCATACATAAGGCACACTCTCGATTTATGAGGAAATTAAAGGATTTTAAGTGTGCCTTATAGTGTGGAAAATACATTATACAGAAGAAAAGAATATATCGCGATATATATCATTACCGCACATGCTTCAAATTATATCGCGATATGAATTTTAGGCCATATCGCCCAGCCCTAATTCACAGGAAGTAAAGCTGATAAATCTGAAGTAACTGTGTGATGCTTTCATGTCAACACAGACCAAAATCTCAGAGGAATGTTTCCAGCACCTTGCTGAAACTATGACACAAAGAATTAAGGTTGTTCTGTAGACAAAAAAGGTGGGGAGGTGGTGGTGGTGGGGTGTCCAACCTATTATTAGGAGTAGGGATGGGTA